CAAAAATTTTGGTAAGTTTAATATTCCGTTTGATTTTTTTATTTTAAAAAAAATTCAAAATGTTATGTATCAAATTACCTTAAAATAATAAAACAAAATTAAATATATTAAACGATATTTAAAGTACGTACCTTTTCTATGTCCTTTTTTGTTGAAGTATTACTTTTCTCCTTTCTCTTGCATCTCTAGCTAATCTCGTCTATGTATCGTCAACTTGATTTTCCAAAGCCCAATTGAAATTGAAAAATAGGATGATCCTACCACCAATCCTTTAAAAAAAACAAAAGGCTGAAGTTGAATTAATGATTCTCCGCTTCTTTATTGCATAATTGATTCTGAATGCATATGTATTGAAATGGAAAATGAAAATGGGTGGTGGATGGCACATCTCAAAACATTATATATCTTTTTTATAATAGGATTTTGACCCAAGTATATAAGAGTTTCCATAAATTTGGATATAAAAGTGAGCAATTTAACTCATTGCCAATTAGATACGGAGTATATAAGTAAGGAATTCAAAATAATATTGTGTCCATCCTAGATATAACGAATTCCTTACTAAAAACAAACGAATTCAGAATAATATTATTGATTATCCAAAATACATAATTAAGAATTGTCATATATAAGTAAAGGGATCCAAAATAATATTAGTATTATCCAACATACATAATATAAGTAAGGTGAGGAATAATATACTCGTGATCATAATTTTCAAATTTTAGTATTATTTAGGATTTTTTCTTAATAATATTATTCGTAAATTTTGTAAATCACCATATGTTAAGGAAATAATCTATTCTTGGAAATCATATCATACCATTCATGACTATGCATGAAACATTTTCTAACGCACGACCCTATTAAGAGAGTTTCACATTTAATTATTTACTTACCTTTTGTATTTTAGGAAGGAGTTTATTATGGTGAGAGTTCCTTGGTAAAGGATAAATATATGTAGCATGGTCCTGAAATTCTATATAAATTAATTAAAAACATTATATTTCTTTTATACATTTTAAATAGTATATATATTTTTCATATTTATTTTTAATTTTTTAATATTATCCTCGTAATTGGAGTTCGTATTGTTGTAATCTGAATACATATATTTACATATAATATTATTGATTATCCAAGATTCATAATTAAGGATTGACATATATAAGTAAATAGATGGAAAATAATATTAGTATTATCCAAGGTACATAATATAAGTAACGTGACGAATAATATACTCGTGATCATAATTTACAAATTTAGTATTATTTAGGATTGTTTCTTAATAATATTTTCCATAAATTTTTTTAATGACCATATATAAGTAAAGTGATCAATAATATATAGTAATGGAAGTAAGACAAATAAGTAAGGAATCAAAAATAGTATTGGAATTTTTATTAGTATATGTACTCTATTGATTTCAACCTATATATACACGAATTTCCATTAATAAATCTTTGTTACTAATTTAAGTATGAAATTTATAAATATGTAAGTAAGATAAAGGATTAATATATGTAGCATGGTTCTAGAATTCTATTTAAGTTAAATGAAAATTATTATATTTCTTTTTTTAAAAGGTATTTATATTTTTTGTATTTTTTTAAAATTGTTTATATTATCCTCGTAATAGGAGTTCGTATCGTTGTAATATGAAAACATATATTAACATGTAATATTATTGATTATCCAAGACACAAATTTAAGGATTTCCATTTATAAGTAAACGTTACCAAAATAATATTAGTATTATCCAACATACATAATATAAGTAAGGTGATGAGTAATATTTTCGTGATCATCAATTTCAAATATCGTATTATTTAGGATTGTTTCTTAATTATTTTTTTTGTAAAAAATAATATTCTAATTTCATTAATATAGGTACTCTATTGATTTTAACTCTTATCATACACGAGTTTTCATAATAAATCTTTGTAACTTATTAATTTAAGTATGTAATTTTTAAATATGGAAGTAGGATTAAGGATTAATAGATCTAGCATGGTCCTAATATATGTAACCGAATAAATGATAGGGAGATCCGCTGGTGTAGTTCGTAGCAAATATTCTTTTAACTTTACTATTATTACGTGGCTCGCTGACGTGTTCAATTTTTGCCAAATAGGCATGCCAAATGTCGCATCCTGGTGAATCCGAGCCTCCTTTATTATATTAAAGGATATAGGATAGGATGTGTTATTTTCTAATGTAGTAAGTACTTAAACTTTTTATTTCCTAAAGAGTACTTGACTAATGTCGCGGGGGGACAATGTTCAATGCTGGTGGACATTTAGTTTGAACAATATCCAGTGGCGCTAGACATTTACTTGAACAATGACCAGTGATACTATATTAGGAAATAAAAACATATGATACTACATTAGAGAAATTACTATGTTTTAGTAATATTTAGGTAAATTCTCCTAAAAACCACTAGATGTTACCGAAATAAGTATTTGATATTTTTTGAATGTTATTGACTCTATTACAATTTACAAAGTAATATCGTTTCATATTATTCTCAACTTAATGACGCATAAAGAGCTAATGTTCTTTCCTTCGATGGGATTCAAAGATGGTGAACTTCCCCATTAATCCTGATGAATAAACTTCCTACCACTCAAGTCAGGAGAAAAGTGAAGTATTTAATGTTATAGGGGCTGTTTGTTTCAGCCTCTTAATGGTTCAGATGTCTGAATGGTTCAGCACTTAATGATTCAGACTGTTTGTTTCAGCTTCTTAATGGTTCAGATGTCTGAATGGTTAAGAGATTTACCTCTGAATGGTTAAGTATTATACAGAGTCTGAATGGTTAAGACCTCTTATCTGAATTGATCAGACATTTGCCTCTGAATAGTTAAGCAATATACTAGCTCTTAATGGTTTGGTTCAACACTTAATGGTTCAGACCTCTTACTGGTTCAGCACTTACCTATTCAGAAGTTGCCAAACAGCCCCTTAATGTTGATTAAACAACACAAGTACACAACCCCATATTTAACCTCTAGAATGAATTTGCCGGTGCAAGAAATCGCCATATATGGCTTATATAAATTAAACACTGGTGAGCACACCAAACAATCATATTTATTAACATTATTTATCCTTTTCTAACATATTCAACCACTGAAACTAAAATAAAGTAGCTAGATACAAGATAAAATATTTTTTTTTTTTAAACTTTAACATATAATCTTACCGATACACTCAGCCACTCAGGGGCGGATGCACTCAATAGGAGTTGGGGGCATGTCCCCTACTAATTTTTTCTAATAAGATAATTTTATTTTTATTTTAAATTTTATGCATATATTCCTCTAACAAAAATTAATGTGACACACCAACTCCTTTCCCAAATCCGTTGCTGAGTTTGAAGCTTTGAACCCAGAACTAAAATCATCATTCTTATCTCAATTGCTTGTATAACTGGTAGAACCCAAATTCAAAATTAGTAACCTTCATAAATGAGTTTTAATGTTTATTTTCTTTGAAATTTCTTGACAGTAACCGATAAAACTCATCTATAAAGCTTATTGCTGTCGAATTTGGGTTCCACCAATTAGAAAAACAATTGAGAGAAGATTGATGGTTTCGGTTTTGTGTTCAAAGCTTCAAACTCAACGACAGGTTTGGGAAAGGAGTGCGAGGGGAGGGAGGAAGCTTAATTGGGGAGAGAAAGGAGTGTGAATTTACAATTTTATCCACGTTTTTAACGAAAATGTTAACAAAGAACCATTCGTGGAAATAAATATAATAATTGGGGACTAAATTAGTAATATTTGATATGTAGGGACTAAATATGTAAAACGACCTATAACTGAGGACCTTTTATGAAATTTACTCTTTAAAAATTTTACTACATAAATACCATGAAAGAATTAGTTTTTTTTCAAAAAAGAAAAGACATACTTACCACCTCATGAAAAATGTGAGAGGATCCACATTTTGATGTGTGACTTTAGGACCACAAAAACGTAACTCTAATTTGGAATATACTAAAAAGAAAAATATAACGATTAAGCCCTTGTTTGAGAATAATATTTTTTATTACCATTAACATTTTAGATAAAATTTTAATTATTTAAAGAAAGCTTTGCAATAAATAGGATTAAAACATGAGTCAATTTCTAATGTAGGACTTAAGCTTTTTTATTCACTAAATAGGACTTAATAATATCTAGCGAGAGGAATAATGTCCAATGATGTTGAACATTTACTTGAATAATAATTAATGGAAAATGACCAATGGTCCTACTTTAGGAAATAAAAACATATAGTCTTATATTGAGAAAGTTATTATGTTTTAGTTCTGTTTCGGTAAATTCTCATTGTTTAAATTATGCTTAAAGTTATTGTTATGTAGAGTTTTCGATAAATTAGTCCAACCAGACATATGTCCTTGACATCAGCGTTAAAGATCAGTTTTAATATTTTGAAAATGTTATCTGACGCGTGACAATAGTCTTTAGCATTAACATTATTAATATTAATCTACATTATTAAAATTTTATCTAAAATACTAATGCAAATAAAAAATATTGTTCTCAAACAAGACCTTAATTTCAGGGGGGGTAAAAATAAGAAATCTCTATAAACAAGAATAAAAACATTAAAAAAAATACTAAAATAGGAGTTCGAAGGCTTTTTAAATCAAAATAAGAATATAATGATAGCGTGGTGTAAAAGTAAACGTTAGCAGTGTAATGAAAAGTCATGATTGGATAATATGACAATGTAATCAGTCAATCGACGACGATCTACGACGATACTCCGGTGACAGATAGCATTGATTATGTGAAAGTTGTAATATAATAATGTAGTGAGTATAACAACGTAAAAGTGGCAGCGTAAACTTTAATTTGATTTTAAAAGATTTAAAAGTTAAAACTCCTATTTTAATATTTTTATATTTTTTTATTCTTAAATGGTAAAATATTTATAAAAAAAATTAAAGTTATACCATTAGAAAACACGACTAAGGTTTACCGACCCGTCCGTCCACAGTCCACTTTGGGAGAGCAGAGCAGTAGGTGACTGACTACTCCCCTCTCCACTCTCTATTTTTTGTTTTCTGATATTCAAAAACCCTTCCAAAGCTCCAATTCGACCTCCTCCGCTTCATCTCCGGCGGCCAGAACCACCTTCTTCCCGTTGCCGGTGGGCTTGGCTACACCCACCGCTTCCGCCGGCGAAATGCAATCGCACCACATACTCTCTTCACCCTCTGCTCTCAAACTCGCTGCCACCCGCCCCTCTTCCGCCGCAATCCGCGGGGCCAATTTCTCTCAATGTAGGCCCCACACAATCAATCCGCTGGCGTTCGCCGTCCACGCCGTCTCCGCCTCGGATACGGTTCCGCCGCCGCCCCAGCCCTCCTCCTCCTCCGGTAACAAGCTCAACAAGTACAGCTCGCGCATCACGGAGCCCAAGTCGCAGGGCGCCTCGCAGGCTGTGCTCTACGGAGTGGGCCTCTCGGACGAGGATATGCACAAGCCCCAAATCGGAATTTCGTCTGTCTGGTACGAGGGGAACACCTGCAATATGCACTTGCTCAAGCTGGCGGAGGCCGTGAAGGAGGGGGTTGTGGAGGCGGGCATGGTCGGGTTCAGGTTCAATACAATTGGGGTCAGTGATGCCATTTCCATGGGGACTAGAGGGATGTGTTATAGCCTGCAGTCAAGGGACTTGATTGCTGATAGCATTGAGACTGTCATGTCTGCTCAGTGGTACGATGGAAACATATCTATCCCTGGCTGTGACAAGAATGTGAGGTTTCTATCTATTAATTGATTTTAAGGTTCATACAATTGTATGTTGGCTGTGATGAATTTGTAGTGTATGTATGTATCTAATGTAAAAGTATTGTATGGTTTTTCTATTAGCATTCAGCAATGGTCTTGACTCATGGGTTTAGAAAGTTTAAATCAAAGTTGAAATCTTTTGCCTGTTTAAGGCAGTACAAGGAAGTAGCATAGTCTAATAGGCAGGGAAGATGTTAGATGAGATATCATATGAAGGAAATCCATGGAGCAACTGTGCCAAAATAAATACTTACTTCTTTTTATGGAGTATTTTTCAAATGCTTATGCTCCAATTTAGAATCACATTTGTAAGCTTAATCTTTACCTGTGTATTTCATATTTTTGTAATTTATTGGCAACTTTGTTGCAGATGCCAGGCACAATTATGGCAATGGGACGGTTGAACAGGCCAAGCATCATGGTTTATGGTGGAACTATCAAGGTTAGATGTACACCTTTTGAATGATCGTTTACTTCCAATGCACCATTTTGTTTCACTTGAAAAAAAGACCTCTTGACGCAATTATACTATCATGGCTGATGAAGCACCATGTTTCCTTAATATCTTTAGCTGTTTACCTGTTTTGTTTTTACCCACAGAAAAATGTCTCAGAGAAAAAGCCTTGTCTTATCCCCCTTTCACCTCTCACAATCAATATTTACTGAGGAATGAATAGGAGAAAAAAACGTACGAAGACAGAAGACCTTTCTTTTGTATTCTCATGTCCATGAATCCATCGCATGCATTCTAGAGATAGAGTAAATTACCAAGTGTTCCGCACTACGATTGAAGCATTATTACTAGATATGTGCCCAATTGCCCATGCATGGATGCAGAAATTATTAGATTAAATAAATCAATGGAAGTAGTAGAGACTGGAGTATTTCAACACATTATGTAAATACCTGATTAGTTTGCATTGTGCAAATGCCGTGCATTTTCCAAGTTTAACATCACTTGCTTTTCCTTTTTCTTAACAATATGTTTGGTTCAAGGAATTTGAAAGGGAAAAGTGAAAAAAATGAGATGGAAAATTGTTTTTCTTGTTTGGTTAGAAAGGAAAAGAAAAGAAAAGTGGGAAGAAAAGAAAATGAGATGGAAGATTGTACTAAGAAGAGAGGAAACCAATTGCTTCCCATTTTGGTGAGGAAAATGAGAGAAAACAATTTTCTTTTCTTTTTCGTTCAACAACAACAACATGTTGTTGGGTCAATTTAGGGTGTTCTCATCCCAGACCCCTCCCACACACATGCGTCTGGAACGGGGATGAGCTTTCATCTCTCCGACAAAGGTTTCTCTGGGGGCCGAGTTGCAGCTTTCAACGTAACGAACTGATTGACGATGAAGTAATTAATTTCTTCGCGTCTATCAAATCTCTAGGTAAAACATTTATTCCATTACACCCCAAAGCCAAAAAATGGTGAAATTTTGGCTCCATCGGAGATGATTTATTCCATCACACCCCAAAATTTCTTAAACCAAACAGAATGCTAATATATTTTCATGTTTTTGTGGATGATGAACTTTATCTGATCATTGGTATTTCATTCCATGTGCAGCCTGGTCATTTTGAAGGGCACACCTTTGACATAGTCTCTGCCTTCCAGGTGAAAACATGCAACGTTCCCTGGATATTATCCTTGCTTGTTTTTCATCATCGTTTATGTTTTGAAATGCTTCCTTTGGAGAAGTGGGCATCTAACTTGTGATTCTTCTTTATAGGTTTATGGAGAGTATGTGAGTGGCTCTGTTAGTGATGAGCATAGGATGGATGTAATTCGCACTTCATGCCCTGGAGCAGGGGCCTGTGGTGGAATGTATACAGCAAACACTATGGCATCTGCTATAGAGACTATGGGGATGTCCCTTCCTTACAGCTCGTCCACACCGGCTGAAGATCCATTGAAGTTGGACGAGTGTCGCCTTGCTGCCAAGTATCTTCTCAATTTACTGAAGATGGACTTGAAACCCCGAGACATCATTACTCCAAAATCGCTGCGAAATGCTATGGTCATGGTCATGGCACTAGGCGGGTCTACCAATGCCGTTCTACATTTAATTGCTATTGCAAGGTGAACAAAGAAAGGCAATTTCCACTATTTGGTTCGCTTATAGTCATATAGATACATAGATAGGCAAGTCATTGTTACATACATTCTGGACAGGTCTGTTGGGTTGCAACTGCATCTTGATGACTTTCAAAAGGTTAGCGATGCGGTTCCTTTCCTGGCTGATTTGAAACCTAGTGGAAAATATGTCATGGAGGATGTGCACAAGGTATTCCCACAGTTAGATATTCACTTTGGCCTGTATTATTTCACTGCCATTGGCTTTGCTGAATTGACGAAACACCATTGTTTAGATTGGAGGCACACCTGCTGTGATTTGCTACCTGTTGGAGCTTGGGCTGCTAGATGGGGATTGTATTACTGGTAATAATTGCCTAACTTTTTTTTAATTTAGATATCACCCCATCATCCCAGAGTGAGTCTTGTTTCGTTAAGGTACACCTTTTAAATTTTGGTAAAGTGCAGTTCTTTTAAATTATGCACCTTGTATTTTTTAATTTATTTGTTTGTTCAACAAAGTATAATATACTCTCTCCGTCCAGGAAAATACTTTTGGGTTTGACTTTCACGGAGTCTTAGAAAAATGTTGAAAAGTGAAAAATGAAAAGCGAGTGGTTGGAATTTGTTTAGAAGGGAGAAAGTTTGTGAGCCACTCATTCAATTCATTAAAAAGAAATAGAGTAAGTGCCAAGTAGAAAGTTCTTTATGGGACACCCAAAAAGGAAATTAGGACGCTTTTTGTGGGATGGAGGGAGTACTCGACTTATTTAAAAATTTAACTTTGTTTCCGATAAAGTAGGACTTTTCTTTGGGTTAAAACATTACGGAGTATTTTTTTAAACATGACCCATTTTTTGGAAGGAGGGCATACAATTACAATAATTGGTTTTCCACTGTGTAAGGTGCTAGTTCTAATGAGTTCTTCAACTTGTAGTCACGGGAGAGACTCTAGGTGAAAATGCAAAGCTATTCCCTGCTTTGGCAGAGGGTCAGGTAGGCATCGCTTCCTCCGTCCAATGTTAATTTGCTATGTTATTGGTTCTCTTTTTTAGGCTGTGTCTGCTTCTTAAGATTGAAAGATGAAAATGTGCTCCTTGTGAGAACTTTTTTTTTTTGTTTCCAGCAAATAATAAGACCATTAGCTAACCCCATCAAAGAAACTGGTCACATTCAAATATTGTATGGAAATCTCGCACCGGAGGGTTCTGTAGCAAAAATAACTGGAAAGGAAGGGTTGTTTTTCTCAGGTGAGCATCTTTTGTGCATGTTTAAAATCTCAGCCTGAAGGTTTTCTGCCTTGGCTAATTGTGATTTGTTTTCCAGGTCCTGCTCTTGTTTTTGAGGGAGAAGAATCCATGATTGCAGCTATCTCAGAAAACCCCAGTAGTTTTAAGGGAAAAGTGGTAGTCATTAGAGGAGAGGGTCCTAAGGGGGGACCTGGAATGCCCGAAATGTTGACACCAACCAGTGCAATTATGGGAGCAGGTCTTGGAAAGGTATGAAACTACTTTTAGAACCGAGTTTTTCCTCTACCAAACTCTTATTTTTACGGAAGCCACACTCTATAGAAATACATCCAAATGAGGTCTGCATTACTATGTTACTGCAGGATGTTGCGTTGCTTACTGATGGGAGGTTTTCTGGAGGTTCGCACGGATATGTTGTCGGTCACATATGCCCCGAGGCACAGGTGTGTTGACTTTACCAGCTCACTGCCTCAGTTTGATTCATTCATTCATTCATTCTTCTTCTTCTTCATCTTTTTGATGTAAATAATCATTCTGTTCTGTAATATTCATTTCCAGGAAGGAGGGCCAATTGGTCTGGTTAGAAACGGAGACACAATTACAGTAGACATTCAGAAGAGGAGAATGGATGTTCATCTAACCGATGAGGAGTTAGAAGAGCGACGAAAGAAATGGACACCCCCACCCTACAAGGCTGACAAGGGTGTTCTTTACAAGGTAAACCTTTTTTTTAAAATTATTTTTAATGCCTTCCCACCGTTTGTCGTATGATCGCTATGATAACAAACTGTTTCCTCATCTATTGGTTAATTTCAGTACATAAAAAACGTTCAATCGGCATCAAGAGGATGTGTGACAGATGAGTAGAAGCGCCACTCCCTTACATTTATTTATATACTCCTTACAGACAAAGCGCGATTGTTTGGCTTATTAAGACGTCCATTCTTGAGGGTCCATTTATTTTTTTTGTGCAACTGAGGTAATAATGACATTATTATGGGATTACAAAACATTTATGTTTGATTTTCCCAAGTTTTTTTTCCTGTTTTATTATAGACACTTTCTTGTTTGCTTTCATCTGCTCCCTACCATTTGGTAAAAAAAATTGATACAATTCGTTTATCTATGTTAATGAGCAAAAATGGCGTTTAAACTCCATTCGAAAAATAAACAAGTTAATCCACCTGTTATATGTTGTTTAATAAAAAAGTTATACCGTAATGTCTTTGAAATTCAAGACCAAAAAAAAAAAAAAAAGAGGCCACGTGTCCTTCCATGCCCATCCCACTATCACAGTTACAAAAATTGTTTTTTTAAAATCAAACCATTTTAACATTAGTTACGTGACTTACGTCTCCAGTTACAAAAAAAAGTTATCACGCGGTTTCCAGTCTGAGGAAAGGACGGATCTTTTTCAAGAATCCATCTTCTTCAATTCTTGGTATTATATTCTCTTTAAAGATTCATTCTTGCCAATTTTTTTTACGAATTAATTTTCCTTTCTCCACCCGTTTGATTTTTGCTGGATTGGGTTTAATTTCTTTTGTTCTGCAAAAGTTTCAATTCTGGAAAACCATCATCGGTGGTTTTTGATATCTTCTTTGCATGGTGGGTTCAAATGGTTGAAGAAGATCATAAGTTCAATGTTTTGATTTCTAATTCACAACCCTCCATGGATATAGCCCTCACAGTTTGGATTGATGAAGAAAAAAAACAACACAGGAAATGATTTCTGGAAATTTTCGTGTTCTTGAACACGAATCCGAACCCTAAACCCTGTCGATTATGAGCACAAATTGTGGGTATAAGAGGAGAAGCATGACAGCCCAAGGCCTGGGCATCAAGATAGGTCTATTTCTTATGGTGATTCTTCTTAGGGTTTTGGGTAATGTTGAAGCTCAGACAAAGAACATCTTAATTAACTGCGGTACAAATTCTAGTTTTACCATTGATGGTGAAAAATGGATAGGTGATACATCCCCTAGCAGTAACATAACTCTCAGTTCTCCCAGCATTGAAGCTTCCACCTCCTCGGCCATTAATGGTGATCCGAACCATGCGTCTCTCTACAAAACTGCTAGATTCTTTTCAAAGCCTCTGAACTATACGCTTCGTCAAGGAGAGCCCGGTAATTATTTCATCAGACTTCATTTCTTTCCCTTTGTGTTTCAGAACTATATCACCAACCAGTCTTACTTTGATGTCCGAACAAACGGTTTCACATTGGCTTCGAACCTCAATGTCCCTTATGCTATTTCGCAGCAGAAGAATTCTAGCCTCTCTGCATTAGTGAAGGAGTTTTATGTTCCCATAGAAACCAATACTATTGTCATTGCCTTTTCCCCAAAGGAAGGATCTTTTGGTTTTGTTAGCGCTATAGAGATAGTCCAAGTCACACATGACTTGTTTGTTGGGTTGGTTAATGAAGTGAGTGGGAACGGTTCGAATGCTGGTTTGGGTAAGCGGGGGGTTGAGACTATGTATAGATTGAACGTTGGGGGTGATTCGGTCAAACCCGATCAAGATTCGGGATTTAGGAGGACGTGGGAAGAGGATTCGGGGTACATGATCAACTCGGATGCCGGGTTGGAATCCAGAAACAAGTCCAGAATCACTTATGCCTCTCCAAATGATACGTCCATTGCCCCTCTACCCGTGTACGAAACGGCGAGAACCATGGCCAACACTTTGGTCATGGACAGGAGATTCAACATGTCATGGAGGTTGAAAGTGGACCCCGGGTTCGACTATCTAATCCGCTTGCACTTCTGCGAGCTAGAGTACGACAAGCCGAGCCAGCGCGTGTTCAGAATCTACATAAACAACAAAACTGCCGCTGAAAACGTGGACGTTTTTGCAAGGGCGGGAGGGATGAACAAGGCGTACCACGCGGATTACTCCGACGCCATGTCTCCGGAGTCCAACCGACTTTGGGTTCAAGTGGGACCCGGCACGCCAACGGGCTCTCAAGGCTCCGATGCTCTGCTGAACGGCATAGAGATCTTCAAGCTGAGCCACGATGGGAATCTTGCGTATGTGCAGAACCACGGCGACGAAAGGGGCAGACGAAACTCAAAAGTGGTCCTGTGGTTGGGAATAGGCACGGCGATCGCATCAATCAGCGCGTGCATAGGCTGGCTGGTTATCTCTGTGTTTAGAAAGCAAGAGACAGTGAGACTCAAACATGTAGGATTAAAAGGTAAGAAGAGATCATCCCATGGAAGAAGATGGGGAAGACGGATAGCCCTCGCGGACATCAAAGCCGCAACAAACAACTTTGATGAGAGTTTGGTGATAGGGGTGGGTGGCTTTGGGAAGGTATACAAAGGCCAGATGAAAGCCACTCTTGCAGCAATCAAGAGATCAAACCCACAATCCCAGCAAGGCCTGGCAGAGTTCGAAACCGAAATAGAGTTTCTTTCCAAGCTCAGACACAGACATCTGGTTCCACTCATAGGGTTCTGCGACGAGCACAAGGAGATGATACTGGTGTACGAGTACATGGCGAACGGGACCCTGAGGAGCCATCTTTTCGGGAGCGGCTTGCCGCCGCTGAGCTGGAAGCGGAGGCTGGAGATCTGCATCGGCGCCGCCAGAGGGCTTCACTACCTCCACACGGGCTCAGAGCGCGGCGTCATCCACAGGGACGTGAAGACAACCAACATCCTCTTGGACGAAAACTTTGTGGCGAAAATGGCTGATTTCGGGCTGTCCAAGAGCGGGCCCCCTCTGGAACACACTCACGTGAGCACAGCTGTGAAAGGGAGCTACGGGTACCTTGACCCCGAGTACTACAGGAACGAAAGGCTAACCGCCAAATCCGATGTCTACTCGTTTGGCGTGGTGCTGTTTGAAACCCTCTGCGCGCGTGCTGTCATAAACCCGGCTTTACCTCAAGACCAGATCAACCTTGCAGAATGGGCAGTGCTGAACCAACGACTAGGATCGCTCGAAGCCATAATCGACCCGTCGCTGAAGGGGGGTTACTGTCCCGAGTCGCTGAAGAGGTTTGGGGAGATTGCAGAGAAATGTGTTGCAGATGAAGGGAAAGCGAGGCCGAACATGGGGGAGGTCTTGTGCTGTTTGGAGTATTCTTTGCAGGTTCATGAGGCTTGGTTGCAGTCTAATAATGATGTTTTGGCCCAAAACTCTGTTTCTCACCATTTATGACTTCATTTGAATGTCTGTTCAAAGCTCTTAATTCTTTCATTCTTTTATATACTCATTCTTTTATTGATTGTATCAACTTGTTCATGAAGATGTGCTGTAGACTGTTAATCCTTTGAGATGTAATTTTGGGCGTTAGAAGTTGACATATTTGTAACAAGCAGATCAAAGTTTAATTGAAGTAAATATAATGGGGAAGGTCTTTATTGTGGTTTAGGGCCGTGATTAAGAAACTAAATAACACAGGTTTTTTAAATTGAAAATGAGAAATTGTAAATAATGAGTACCAATAAAGAAAACTTGTCTGGTTTGTCTAATTTTGAGGCGAGAGATTTGTTTCTTCAGAAGGAAAATGAAGAGAGAAATTAGTTTGAAATTTAAATAAATCATTTAAGGCTAAAATCCATTGTTGGTCTTTCAACTTTATTAGTTGTGCATGATTGGTCTTTCAAGTTTTAAAAACCCATGAATAATCCTTCAACTTTATGAGTTGTATACGATTGGTCCTTCAAGTTTCAAAAGTCCATAAGTAATCCTTCAAGTACACGTCAGCCCTCCAGATTAGGTCTTTTTGACAGCAAACATTAAAAGCTAAATGAAATATTAGTTACATGTAATACGAGTAAACTCTACAAGGTACGACTATTGCGTATTATATGGAGCTTGTACTCCGTCAAAAAAAACTCATCTGGAGGGCTGACATGTACTTAAAGGACTACTTATGTACTTTTGAAACTTGAAGTACCAATCATGCACAACTCATAAGGTTGAAGGACCAACGGTGGATTTTAGCCATCATTAAAACTGGGCTAAGTTCCCATAGGTTAGTCACGAGAATGCATTTTGGTGCACTTTGGATATATTATTTTTGTGGAACTTCTCTCGTAATCTTTTTTAAATTTTTTTATTAAAAAATATTTGCTTATTTAAGTAGTAGGAAAATGCTCATCTTGCTTCTATGTAGGTCTATGGTGGACTTTAGATTAAAACTTAGATTAACAAAATATATGTACCCGTCTCACAAAACCTTTCTCCTTTCTTTTTTCATCCGTCCCAAAAAAATCTTTCTTATTTTTATTAAGAAATCACTTTTTAACCCACCTAACACATCACATTTTTTCAATATTAATTTACCCATTACATCTATTTTTATCTATCACATCCAAGGATATTTTTAAAAACTTAATATAAAAATATACTCCCTTTAGGATATTTCCCTTTAAAAATTCATGGGAACCGGCCTCATTCATGATTTAGCCCAACCTAAACCTATGGAAACTTAGCTTGTACTCCACTCTCATGAAACCTTTTCTGAAGAGAGTATATTTTGATATTGAGTTTTTAAAAAATATCCTTGAATGTGATAGATAAAAATTGATATAATTGGTTCTCAATGTCATGAGAATCAAGGGAATCATGAATTACCTAGTGTGAACCTAAAGTGTGCCTTCAACTAGGGTAAGATGATAGTTGACGCAATCAGAGTCACAAAATCTAATGAGATTAAGATCGCAATCAGCAGGATTAAATTTCTGCCACACGGTTCCAAGATTTGACATAAGAAAAAAAACCTACTCCTTCCATTCCAATTTAATTATCTGTTTATTTTTCACATGATTAAACTTTATTCACTTTTTTTTCTATTTTTTCAGTAGTCATTTAAAATAAAATAGTTATGTTATTTCCAGTTTTGTAAATCTTTTGATGTATTATTTTAATATGTAATTTTTATTTTTAATTCTACACCATTTTTCATAGAAAATAATTTAAAAATAATTTCAGTCAAACATTGTAAACCAAAACATGCGATATAAATTGGGAAGAAGAGAGTATAAGGTAGCATCCCAGTGTTCACTGTGCAATTTGCTCACAAATTAAGAACGAACATGCATACTCTAAGTATGATCAAGTCATGTGACAGTCTAGTAAATCAGATGACCCACTAACCAG